GCTTATGTTGACATTGATTTCCATGCTCCCTCTTCCATCCCCTCTACTTCTTAAAAAAAAAAAAAAAAACCCAAACACAACAAACCACTGTGTATATCTGAGTGTCCAGAAGCAATGGGGGAGGAACCTTAGAAATTCAGAGGGTTCACAGGCTTTCCACTGAGGAAGCAGGAGCAAGCCAGAGAGAAGAAAAATATTTACAAATCTCAGGTTGCCCACCTACAGGGTAAGTCCCCTAGCTACACATACTGGCATCTTGGTCAGGCTTTGGGTCTGCTGGGTGCATGCTAACATGCATCTGAGAACCATGGACACTCACTAGGCAGGACATCAGAAATCCAAGGGCCAGAAGCCCAATATTGCAAGCTTTGGGAAGTTCACCTTGTGTTTTTTCCCCTCTAAGATAGGTTTCAGTGAAGAGATTTTTCACCCGTCCAAGAGCAGTCTCCCTGGCAGGACTATAATGAATTCCATGAGCTTGGCCTCATGACAGATTTCAAAAGTAAATTAGGTGCTAAGCACTTCTGAAGGGTGTAGATTTCAGTCTATCTCTGCCCTTGTTCTTCCTCTGTGAAATGGAGATACCCATAATTCCTACTATATCACATAAATGAAATGGAAACCATTATACTAACAGAGTCTAGATATGCTTTGGAACTCAAATAATAAGTGTAGCATAGAGATATCTTACCTAAAATGAAGTCACCCACTTTTAAGACATGGTGTAAATGAAACATTGCCAGCTTTTGTGTTCTTGACCTGCAGTTCTCAGTAAAACAAGAAAATGACTCATTTGAACATGAGAGTCATTTAAAATCTTGGCAAATGTCAAAAAGAAGTAGCCAGGTTTCGGCTCAGGAAAAGTCACCTTCAGTTCTGCATTGCTCTTAGGTTCACATATTCACACAAGTATTATATTAACAAAGAACGATCACAAAGGATTCTACAACGCTTAATAGTCCACGGCGTCAATGAGGGGAGGTCTGCAGGTACCATCAGGTTATAAATGGTGGTATTATCCAACAGGCTAGAACATGCAAGCAAATGTGCACTGGTGTTTTATATGACCGAGGCCCGATCCCACTAATTAAATTCCTGATTGGAGGGTAGATTTGTCATTGTCTTACATAGTACCAAGTTTTACCCACGTGTTATCCACCATTAACCAAAGGAAAACTGATCACTCCATCATCATATAAATTGATCTCACTGTGACTTGGCAAGGAGTCAGAGAAGTGATGATATTGACCCTGTAAGAATATTAGGTCTAATGCCCAGAGGCATTAACCTTTGTTTAACCAAAAGGTAAATCTCTTGATGAAAGGCAACATTTTATTACTATCCACCTGCAACAAATAGCTCATTTCTTACTACTGTAACTCAACTGCTGGTACTGAAGAGCAAAACTTGCACTTTACTTTCAGAGGCTCTGGAGTAATTCACATTGAGGTCATGGATCAAAACTGATTATGTAGTTGTAATGATCAAGTTCTGCAAGGCGTTATGCCCAGTACAGGGGTCTAAATGTAGCGGCTGAGTCCTGTAGGGAGACATGGAGGTTGTGAACAAATTACCTTTAGTTAAGAATACCGACCAAGTTGCAGTAAGAGGATGGCCAAACATGAAAGATGTTTCTTGGTTTCTGGGGCAGTACTGATCCAATTACCCCGTTATTATTTTTTTCTGAGAGAACCTACATAAAACTGAGTAGTCACTTTTATTGTCTCAGTTCAGAAACAGTTGAAAATCCTAGAGCTGGTATTTTTCCACAGCACTGGAATTAATGATTGGCAAGATTATGTTGCCAAAGACCCATCAAGTGCAATCTCACCCCAATCACCAGCATTTGGCGTCATCCTCGGCAGTGTCTCATGTTCTGAGAGCATCTTGCCTTAATCAAACACATTACGCCAGCATTATGTCAGGTCTTTCCTTGCATATTTCTCTGCTCTGTAAGATCAAGTTCTGCCCATAAGCGTGTGTCCCTGTGTTGTCTCATGACAGATGGTTTTCTGTGGCATTCTGCATACCCAGCTTTGGTTACACCTGCTCGGCTTCTACCACAACACAGTCCCAAAGTTATAATTTTCTCAATAGAGTTTATTTTTCTTTATTAAAAGCAAATGTCATTGGGGGCTTTTGAAATCTGTAGGCCTACATGGTAGGCCACAGGAAACAGTACTGCTTTCCAAATTTAATATTCTTTAATGTGTTTGTTAACAGAACATTGACATCTGCTTAATGTTTTCTTTACAAGAATCTATCAGATCTCCCCTTATGTATTTCTTGCCAAACTCAACTATCAGCTTTTGCATTTACAAAACAGAACATGAAGTAACAATGCAGCTTAAAGTTCCAGAGCTAAATCTTGCATAAACCTTTTTTATTATTATTATTTTGGAATGTGCATCTGCTCTTTCAAAAACTTTTAATCATGGTGATCTCATGCACTGAGCTGCTGTTTAAACAAAAGCCACCCATTTACAGTAAAGCTACAAAGCGGAGAAGAAAAGCAACAAACTAAGGCATAGATAGTTAATACATAGCTGTCCTGCTTGTGCCAATGCTGCCAGCAAAGCTCTAGTGCAAATCAGATGCCCCGTTGGAGAGAATTTTTGGCAGCCTAAAAAGAAACAGCAGCAACTCAAGTGTGTTTCTGAACCTCACTCATAAAATCAGTGTCAGGTACTGTGAACTCTCATACGCTATTTTTAACCCTTGGGCTCCCGTGTTTTGTTTTCATTTTGTCAAAGCAAAGGAATGTGAGCGAGATGTCTATTAGACTCCTTCACTCAGCCTGAGGGTTAATTACTCAGTTTGGTAGACATTTGAAAATATTATGTTACCTCTAACGGCAAAATTGATAGAAGCTTGTTTCAGGCTCACTTTATGTCATTATGGCAGATTAAATTAACTAATCATAAATTACACTGGCTAAAGTACATCTGCTACTCACTAAACCTGCAGAAGGAAGGGAAGGGGTTTTTTTCCTGAATAAGAAGTAAATGCCACATGGCAAATTAAAGACTTTTTCAACCAATAAACATACATTCAAGCAATGAAAGCTGGAAGCATCTGAACGATATCAGCGATAGATACTGAAGACCATGTCAGCAGTCTAACACTGAACCTGTAGCTGCTGCAGAAAGGCATCAACACTGCAATGCTGCAGGGATATATCCACAGATCAAAGAATAAAGATGGTCCATTAAAAAAAAAAGAAGGTCAATTAAAGAAGAGTAAGCATGTTCACATTATTGTTATATGTCTTTGAATACCAATATGATATGAAGTGCATGTTTGCAGCTTCTACTTCCAATGTCACCTTCCATTTTCTGTTCAAAGAGGCTGAATGCACCATTTCTATGTGCTTCCGAGGAAAGGATGGACATATACATCACTAATCTAGAAGACAACATAGATTTTTGCAGTGATCCTTTCGTTACCATCCCCAGTGCAGGATGCAGATGTGACAGCTGATACCACATCGGTATGATTCAATTCCTAAACAGGGCATGGACAACTGAAGTTGGAGATGCGTGGGGGGAATGGACAGAAAATACAAGCATTCAAGACCTCTTCTGTGCAGTATAGAGTCCCTACCTGCAAGCTCATGGTAGACCAGCTCAATCAATCACATTAAATCAGGATCTTCTTTCTTTCGGAAGAATATAAAGAAGAAAAGCAATATTATATTGTATTACATGTGGATTCACATATGCAGTTGTCAGTAAAAAGCAGAACATTGTTTTGGGATGACCAGATGGCTTGCTCCTATCTAGGAAATAAACCTTGCTGAACATGTCCCAGAAGAGTCCAAGACTATCAGCCTCCCAGCGACCATGTTTAGAGGAAGCGTAAACAAAGGATTGACAAATCTATAGCATTCCTCTTCAGGTGTCACAGAGCCTCATGAAGCTTTGAGGGTGTTCGAATAGCCCAAACTTAGTTAAAGTGTGAACTTTCAACATATTATAAAGTCTTCTGGAGAGGTGCAGCATGCTCTGTTCACCTGTTCCCAGGTTCCTACTCCATCAGTCCCTTGAGGCAGGTGATACTCTTAGTACCACTTGAGTCATTTTCCCTCATGTTTCCCTCCCGTTTCACATTCTCTGAACAATATTCCTCAAACCACCTTTTATGCATCATACATAACAGCTACAAAAATGTCAGAAGGAATGAAACAGCTACACAAGGATTTAGAGGAAAGCAGCAAGAAAGGGAATTGTGTCCCTCACCAACATGCAGAAGGCAATGATGAGGTTTAGTCCTGCAGTGAAAAAATTCTAAAAACTTCCTCTGAAAAATAAAAGAAAGCTTAGATCACCATCAGTCACTGGGTAACCTATTTTAAGCCCATCAGAGCCAGTGTGCTGTTCTCATGTTGCTAATTAAAAATGATAGATTCATCAATTAATCTCTTTTCCTGTCCCCTAGTCTTGATATGAGATTTTTCAAAGGGACAAATGGTAGTTAGGTGCCCATAAGTATCATTTCAGCCCTGAAAACTTGTGCCTTTGTCAACATGAACCCAACCTTTTCTCTTTACACTATGAAATAACAAAAAGAAAACCATAGGAAGCTTTGTCACCCTGAAAAACACAACAAATTTATAATTTGGTAATAATCTTATCCTCTATACAATTAATATCTCTACATAAATCCTTCCTGGGCTCCAATCCGAACCTGCTCATTGATAGATGAATAAGCCTCTGTTAAATTTGGCAGAGAGAGATGTCCTAAGCTTAGGCTCTTGATTGAAACTCAATTGCAATACTTACTGCAGAGCAGAGACACTCCACTATTTAGGAAAGAAGCAATGAAGGCAATCTATTTTTATTCACATTGAAATGGAGACAAAGATAAAGGTCCTGCTGTTAGCTTAGCAAAGTCCCAGTCACATAAAGCAACGAAATGGGTTATCTTTCCCCTTTCAATATATGTATCACCAGGCAGTGAAACAGAATTGGGGTGTACAAGGTTAACAAGCCAGCATCATGTTATGAAGCAAGCGATAAAATTGTCTTATAGTTCTTAACTCTGACCTGTTCCAGTGAAAAGCTGCCAAGCAGAATTATGTCATCCTGAACATCTCTTTCAAACTGTTCGATATATGAAGGAATCACTTCATCTTCAAGCTCCCTGTGAAGGTCACATGCCTTACTGGAGCTGACAGGCATCACAGCGTCTGCAAAATCTTCACTGGCGACATGGGCTGCTTGAAACAAAAGTGGCAGATTATCTCTTAGCAAAGTGGAGTTCATTCACTGGTTAGTACCTTCTCAGTTAACATGTTTGGTCCACCAACATTTTAAGACAACAATTCATGCCATAAAATGAACAGTAATAAATAACAGCAGTAGAACAACCATCCGGTTCCAAGTGCCATTACCAGCAAAACTCTCAAGAGCAACATCTGCATACAGGCACAAATTTAGCACGTGCAGCTTGTTCCTCAAATGATTTTTAAAAGGGGTGCTGTTCTGCATTTCCACAGTCACTTCTCTCCCCTGTAAATCTTAGAGGAATTCAGATTTGGAACAACTTTGGCCTTCTCTCCTGAGGAAGAGGAGAAATAACTGCAATTGAAAAGGAGGTTTAGGTGGAGCCACACTGAGCATTTCATCTTCCTCCCACTCACCCCAGAGGATCAGATTCCTCCCCAAGGTGTGTGCACGCAGCTCCTGCCTAATTAATTGGGCCCGGTTCTACTCTCACCCACATCATACCCCGATTTCACTGCAGTGACATATGCAGGACCAAAGGGTACATGCTGCACATAAATAAAAATAAATCCCATTCATAAAGTCAATCTTAAAGAGATGCTATGTCCTTTTTTCAGTTTAATTCATCATGCTACATTAAAAATAGGTCTTCTTGATATCTGCTACAGTATTAATAATAGTTTGGGTCATAAATAATAAACAACAAGTATTTTTGCTCATTTATCCACATTAGGATCACTAAGAAATGACAGATATCAGGTTGTCCACATCTGACTGTCTTTCTTGCCTCATATTTCTGTGTGTAAGTTTTTATAGTTCTCTGCAACAAACTGCCATATCTAGTTATTTGCTTTTCTTTTTATCCATCCTAAGACATGAAAGCAGTTAAAAGATGTTTTTTTTCCTCACTCCCCTTTGAAGTCTCTCATTCTCTAATGAAGACCAGAAAAGGAAAGATAAAACTAAGGCTATTAACATTTTCAGTTTTGCTCACTACTCATTGTTTAATGACTTTAATTGTTGAGCCTCCCAAGTACTTAAATCACCTCTTGCCACCAACACACAGGAAGTAGGGTGTTGTTTGGGGTTTTTTTATTTAATTACAACAGGATACAGTTCAATATCACGTTGGGGAAAGCGTACAGTAGACATAAACAACCCAAACCATTACCTTAGGGTACACAATCTCTTCACGTAGCATCTTACAAGCCTAATGAAAAGTGATTTGACCTACAACTATTAACTGCAAAAACAAAACAATATTTACTTTTAAATTTACTGTAACATTAAGGGTTTGGCTGGGAGAGAGAAAACCCAGGAAGCGCTGGAAAAGGCAACATTGCCAACAGCAGAAGATGCAGCAACACTTGTTCCCCTCGATGCTGTGTTGTACACAACAGGCCATATGCTCAGCTGGTATAAATCAGCTACTTCCATGCTTTCACAGGAGCAGTCCAAGTTCACATCCTGGGAAGACTGTACATCCCTATCTCAGGATCCTCTGGGTGTAGAGAGGTAGTCCTTATACATCAAAAAAGGAATAAAAACATTCGGTTCACAGACGACCATGCAGTGATTCACCAAAATATCCTTTTTTTTTTTTTTTTTGCCTCTGTGTGTTTATTATTTTTGTGAGGAATCGTGTCAAGTGAACTCAGTTTTGGTGGAAGACACTGGGGTCATTAGCACATTTTGTGAAAAAAGAGCAAAAGAAGAGGGAGAACATTTTCAAAAGCCTTTTCATGGGAAGTAACTGCTAAAAGTACAGAGATAATTACAATTCAGATTTGGAGAATTTTTGATGAAGAGATACATATGCTTATTTAAGCACAATTTGAAAAACTGCTCATTTTCCTGAGCTGGAGACAGGGAGAGAACAGAGTTGTTCAGCTGGTCTATTCCTTCCTCATTGGCTTTGCAAAGAAACCTCTGAAACTCGGTCACCATCAGAGGTTGCTCCTTCTCTGAACCAACCCACAGGTTACAGGCTTGAGCTGCCGCCCAGGAGCAGCGCTCGGCCAAAACAAAACCTCCGCCTCCTTGCTGTACAGAAGCAGCCACCGTGTTAAAAATGTAACTGCTTCGTACACACGGGATAAACGGCTGAAAATTTATGAGGAAATTCATTGATAGATTGATAAACTAATTAAAAACTGGCTGCTTCAAGTTGTCAGCATCTGCATCAAACTTTTCATTGCCTTGGCTGTCCTTAACACTGCGGGTCAGACTTTCCACATAGTTTAAATCACTTCTCCTTAGCACAGGCTGTATTTGCAGATGCTGTGCTGTAATTAAAACAATCTCTCCAGTATTAGCTTGGCTGCTGGTAACTTCATTTACTCCTGCATTTGTCCATCAGAGAGCAGTAGTTTATATACAGAGATGAGAATTTAAAGGGTAGGTTCACCAGCAGACTACACCTCAGCATGAGTTTGAATGTATAAAGCAGCTATAAACTCCACATGGAAAATGTATTTTGGCTGCCTAGTTCTAGAAGAGTCTGTGTACAAATTGTAGCTAAGAAAGTACATCACCAAAGGCTCATGCATCAAACAACTAAAATGCTGCAAAACATTGCACTTCAATTTTTTCAGTTGTTGCCAAAGAATAACATAATAGAAAATATTTTTATGGTATTAGCTAGCATAATTTTAGATGTGCGTGGATCACGATCTTAGATTGTTTGAGAGCTTTTATCCATAGGTAAAAAAAATATACAGTCTACATCTTTCTCTAAAAAACAAACAACCGATGTTGCCTTTTAAGTTGCCTTATAATACGAACTAACACGTACCACAAGAGTGACCAACAGGTTACTCAGCGACACAATGCTTTGAATACACAATTATATAAATTCTGAGCCACGTTCTTTCCTTTCCTTTGGGGATCATCTATTAATTAGGACTGTATGACTACGTGATTTTTCAGCTCAGTGGTCAAATGAAGAAAAGAATCAGTTCTGTAAGAGCGGAACCAAATGAATCCTAGTTTTCTATGGATTTCCTGATATCTAATAAGGGTCAAACTCCCATATTAGCTTTTCCCTCAGTGGAGACATTAATAATGCTTGTCTGCTCTGCTCAGCTGCCCACTTCCATAAAACTGGTAGGGAAGTCAGACCTGTGAGACTTGCTCTCTGTTGAAAAAAAAGGGTTTGGAAGTGAACAACAGGTTTAAAAATCGGGAGGGAGAAACACAGGCAGGCAGAAATAAATATAGCCTGATACACACACACAGAGATGGTGCACAAGCCTCGCTTCCTCAGGAAAATCTTGCTCTTTTCTGGATTTTATTCACCCAAGCAAAGAAAAATTAAAAAAATCAGCTAGGGCAGGGCACAACATTCAGCCACAGGGCCAGCTCTGATACCCATTATGGCACTTTTAAGAAATGACAGCACTGAGGCACTGCTCAAGACACAGGACAGCAGCAGGCTGCGGTGTCTCCTCCATGCCTATGTGGGGGGCACTGACGTGCACCTGGAACGCGAGACGCGCGTTAATGCATTTGCTCGCCCTTGAATTGAATCAGAGAGCTGGCAGCTCAGCAACCTTGGCAGCCTCAGCACGAGATCATTGTCTGCAGAACACACCACATACAATAAAATGGCTTTGGATGGATGAGAGATTTGAACCTGTCTCACACCCCATGTAGCCAAATAGTAATAAGATCATTTCTCCCTCATGGTGGTTTGATAAAACTAGATGGAGAAAAAACTTTTTTAGTTCAAACATACCTGGCGAGAAAAAATTAGAAACATTTGAGGAGATCAGTGAAACCTTATTTCTCTCTAAATATATTATTTGCTATTATCCTCTGTAAAGCGTCTGTTCATCCTATCAATATTCATTAATGTTATTTGTAATACAATATAAAGTTTTAGGACACCTAGCTGAAGATGACAGTAACCACTGATGGATGAGGAAGGCTTCCCCTTCACTCTCTGGTTTCCTTGCTTAAAAGTGGATAAATACAAACAGTGCAATTCAGCTCGCTCACCTTTAGCCATGCAAAAATCAGTGGTCAAGTCTAACACTTCTCCAAGACCCTTCTAGAGCCAAAGGAAAGAGAAGAACTGTTTCCAGAGCACAATTTGTCTAATCAGCTAAGAGGTGTCTGCCTGAGGTGGGCTGAACCACTGCCCAGAGGTGCTTCTCTCTCCCTCTCCCAGCACTTTGGGAGAGCCCCAGAAGCTAATTTTCAGAAAGCTACTAGACCCCACCCTAGGGCAGCCTGTACAATGACATCGAGGTTATTTTGACAATAAAGCTATTGAAGAATAGGAAATACTATAAATATTGGTAGACAGGAACTACACAAGTATCACAGATAGACACCCCATGTCAATTTTTCCTATAGAAATAACGTTGACTTCACAGCCAAACATGTTTTTATTTTCATCTATGTTGTTGCAGGATAAAAGCCACAATCAACCTGCAGCACTGCTACGGTCTCTCTCAGCAATGTGGAGCTCTACATTAACATGCAGCAATAGAAAGCTTACTAATAATTTGTTAAAGGTTTTTCTTAAACTATCTGCATGCATTCAGCTGTGATGGTTGTACTTTCTATTCCTTGCATTTTAAATGAGACAAAATGGGTTTCAAAGATGATCCTGATATGACCAGTCTGAGTTCAAGGGATTTTGCAACCCTAGGCAAATGAAAACATTTCCCTCTTCTAGAGCAAAGTTACTCACAAACTAAAACACATCATAAACCACGTTGCAGCTCCTGGAGCTCCAGTGCCGTAGGCAACCACCTGCTGTCTCTGACAGAGTAGGTCCCGTGTATAACTGAAATATAACAGGAAACCTCAAACAGATACAAAGAACATAAAATACTTTTGCACAAAAGACGTGTGCTGAAAAAAGGACAGGGAGATACCCAAAAATATGAGGGCAGCCCTGAGCCAGGGCTTGTTTTTATGTCACTTCTCCTAGGATGAACCAGAGGAGAGCAGCAGACACGCATCTCGTGTAAAGGCTGTGGTGGTAACGGTATCACGAATCAACTGGGTGTTAAAGATTGACTGTAAATAAGTGAAGCCAAAGTAAGGCTGTTGCTTTTAGGTGGAGAAATCTCTTTTCCTACACTTCATCGTTTCTACTGTAGATGGAACATCAATTTGTATTTTCTAACAAAGCCACAGAAAACATTTTCTTGCTCACCTGTTAGTGTAAACCCATACATAGATAACCTCAAACATTGTGACATAACCTGTGCATCTGACAAACAGCCCACCCATTTATGAGCTTAAATAAGGATTTAGATTTCTAGCTTTGAGCATGTAAGCAATGCTATTTCCAGTCTTCTTTCACAAGAGTCGAATTCAACATGCAATGAAGCAGCCTAAAGAAAGCACGCCACTTAAGTTACACTTAAAACCACATAAACACAACTCAAAACAAAAACATTTGTCAAAAAAGATCTTACAGGCTCACATTAAAATCCATGTCCCTTTTGCTTCTGAGTTCAAGGGGATGGATTACCCACTCTTCTCCCCGCATCCAGACTCAAAAGAGGTTTATTTTTCTTTATGCAAATGATTTTTTTATTTACCTTGGAAGTCCAGCATCTTGTTCTCTTCATCTAGAAGCTTCATCAGCTTACCATACAGGATTTGCTCATCAAATTTCACAGGATCTTAAAAAAACAACAGTGAAACATCATTGTTTCTTCCAGCAGTATTTCAGGAAACACTATTTTAAACTATAAAGAAAGATATAAAAATACAAGAGTTAAGAAACGGCTTGACACTTAAAAATACTTTTCACAGTACTAGTTTCATAGCAGAGATGAATGTCACTTTCTTCTAAGTTATGAAAGACAGTTTAAAATAAAAAATATATAATCGTATATTTTTAAATGGTGAGAAATATTATACCTTGATCTGGACTGAAACTGTTTACTAAGTCTGCTAATAGACTAGTTGAAATGATTATTTATATTCAAATTGCCAGATAATTCTCTTTGACTCTTTATTATAAATTATACCTTGCTGTCCATAATACTAACAGGTTATCTAGTATGATTAGTCATTACTGCACACTGTGAATTTTGATTTTGTGCCTGATCAGTCATTCAAATTCCCAGTAACATCTGCAGATTTTAAAAAGGAGTAACACACACACACACACACGTATACCTTTTCCCATGAGACCTAAACAAATCACTTCAAGTTTCTATATTAAAGGGAGAAGTGACTAGTTGAGACTCTCCCAGGCCCTGGCTTCTCTAAGTTGCCTGTGAAGACAGGCAGGTAGAAGGCCAAAGAAATACATAGAAGATAAGCAAACATAAGTACAGCTACAACTGACCTTGGGTGGCTCTTTTTAAGGGCACAATAGAATCTCAAAGAATAAATTTTCTTTACCGCAACTTTACCATGAAATTTCAGAGCGAAGTTTTCAGTTACACTGGGCATTCAAAGACGGAGGCTTCTGCAAACCTCTTCTGCAAGTACAGAACCTTTTACATTTCTTTTAGCATGTAACATTGAAATGTTCCCTTGACAAGGAGAGGGGAAGCAAATCCATAGTGGGGTGTTGTTTGTTCTCAGGGCATTATCAACTCAGACAAATTTCCAGCACAAATTTAATTTATCAAATATAGAAAAGATAATTGCTAATATCTTCATTTTCACAGAATAACCCATTAAAGAATCCCATATGATGAACACATTAAAATGATATTTAACTTTGTATAATAGAGTTAGTGGCTGAAGATTTGCTTTTCACCAGCTATTCTCTTTGGGCATTGGGCCTGACTTGCTTAAGTCGTAAGAAGAGTGTAACTTTAAAGTGTGCCCTGATTTCTTCATCTTGTTCTGCTTTTGTCTCTTTTTAGTGACAAGCTGCTAGCTGGAAGGAGGAGGTAAATGAATATGGTTTCCAATCAGGGGATAACTATGCAGGACCAGATTTCAGTTCCAATTGTCCTTTTAACTCCATTCACTACATATAAATGTAATTCCACTTATTTAACACTTCTGCAAGGAAAATGAAAACAGAGAGTGAGCCTTGTTTTTGAGTATCACAGAGTCAAACCAGCTGAGGTGGGAAGGGACCTCTGGAGGTCATCTGGTCCTGCCCCCCTGCTCAAACAGGGCCACCTAGAGCCACGTTGCCCAGGACCATGTCCAGATGGCTTTTGAATATCTCCAAGGTGGAAGAATTGCTCTTGGCAGATGTGTTGGTAAATACAGCGTTATAACTGCTCTGCAGATGTCAACACAACCAACCTGAGGCCAGTAACATTGCTAATAGACCTTTAATAAACAAGTGTTACCGCAACCTTTGAGTGACATTTTTGCTGGAGAGAAAAAGGAGGAATGCCAAAGGACAACTGTTCAAACATGGATCTCAGGTCTAGCCTGATATGCAAGCGCCTAAAACCACCTCTGCACTCCTACCCCAGGAACTGGATGGAGTTTCTCAGAGCTTTAATCTGTTCCAATTTTTTTTTTTTTTAAAAAGGAAATAAAAAACCATACACAAAAAACCACAACACAACACACACTTCAGGTTAAGTGTACCACTCAGCCTCCTCAACACAGGCAAGAGAACATTTTCTCCTGATGAAAATTGTACTTCCACATATCCCTTATGTCACCACTCCATCCATACATGTTTTTAGGCACACACGTACAGTTACAAAAATCTAATCTGCTTTTCATTCTCTGATTATGAAGCAGATCATGACTCATGAAGCCTATTCATAAGATGAACCAAGGCAGTAACAACAGAAACAAAATCGTTCCTTTCCAAGGTATTACGTTGCTGTCCTAGACAATGAAAGGGGAAATTATAGGGGTTAGATGTAATCCACTCTTGATAAACCTTGATTTTTTTTTTCACGAGTACACAGAAATTCAAGACGCTGATGTGTGTTCGAGCCTGCTTTCCTCAGTCACACAAGTTCTTGCCTCAAAAGTTTAAACCTCCATGTCTACTTGAAGTAGAAGTTTCTCATGAATTTCAGAAGTTACTTACTTTGAGACCCTTTACAGTAGACAAAGTTTTTTTAGATTTGACTGCAGCTGCGTGTCTAGAGAGTTTCTAAAAATAAGCACAAGGTTTATAAAAGCAAAGGGCTAGGAAGGTAAGCACAGGAGAACTGGGTCTTGCGTGCTATCGGGTTGTTAGCGCTTAACAACAGGAGCCGGGCCAAAGCAGTCAATGCATAGCTAAGCACTTCATTACCATGATGATGATCTTTCTTAAGTCCATGCAAATTCAGGCAGGCCCGTTCCCACCCTTTTTTATCTAAAAGCCATGACAGCGAAGGAGAATTTCCTCCGCTAGACAATACCTCCTGGTTAATCTCTCTCATACCTATGCATAACTTCTGTTCTCTGAGCGCTGCAGCGTCACACCCTCCCACTCCTTGCTATCACCCACAGACAGCAAAGCTGAACATCTTGGCTACACTAGCAAAAAGAAAACCCAAAAAGCCTCCTCGTGTGCTGGGAACTTTTATGGACTCTGAAGTTTCCTTCTATTAGGCAAACAGGCATTCAGCTCAGTAATAAAATTGCTCTTCAAGAAGGACTTTGGGAGCAGAGTTGCAAAAAGAAAAAAAAAAAAAAGCTACAGCTCAGTACTCAGTTCTGGACTAACGTCATTAATTAAAGAACATGGTGTAGACGATGTTCTTGGAGCGTGCTTCATTTTGCAACGGTAGCAGAGTGAATACAGCACAGCCTCACTTTTACCCATCCATTAACTCACTGTCCTTGATCAAAGACTATGTATACTGCCTATCGTGTTCAGAGCAGGTAAGGCTTATAATTTAAATTGTAAACCTCAATATTTAAATAGAACTGCATATGTGATCTTTGTCACCTCATTTTCATGAATGGAAAAGAATATTCTGACACCAAAATTACATACTTAATTCTGCCTCACCTTCTTCACTGACCTCCATCCCACACTGCCTTGGGTTTATTTCCTCATCCATCAACGGGTCAAAGTAATTTCTGCTGTATTCATTTCCTGTGGAAAGCACATGAAGTAAGGGTCAGCGATTATTAGAAGCACATGAACCAAAATGTTAATTTTGAAATCGACACCAGCAAGCAAAGGGGCATTTTTTGCTACTTTATAAGCTTAATTTTTTTAACAAGTCCTCTAAGCCTACTAGTACTGCAATTATCATCTTGTGAAAGGTCAGGAAAGGTAATTCTGGAAACAAGTGCACTTTATGTTACTTTTGCTCAGGAACTAATGAGAAAAATTCTCAAATTTAGATGATGGAAAGATAAGAAAAAAATTTTCAAAAATCTAGCATCCCTAACATAAGCCAAATTATTCTTGAAACACATTTTACAAGTGAATTATCCATGCAGCAGATGAATTTGTGTTTCACAGCTGACCCCTCCAATTTCAACAGTTTTAAATTTCACCACTGAGGTTTCAACGTCTGGTGCATCTTTAATACTGTATTCAACCAGAGAAGTGTTTAATTACAGAGGAGATACTAGAATACTGCCTCATTAATCTGAACAGCAATTATATTCAGTTGGGCTAGGTAACTAATCCAAGATTTTGATGGGATAAACCCTCTCATTTTAGCACTTTCCATTTCAACAGCTAGTTTTATCTACTCTTTAGAAACTAATCAAGTTTACAAAAAAAAGTGATTTGTTAGACTTATCAAGGAGTAATGCAGCATCTAGCTGCCTCCCAGTAAAAGTCAGAAGAATTTTCTTCTGGTGGAGGGAGAACTTTTTGCTCAAAATATGTCCTTCCTTCAGCAAAAGTGCTACGCTCTATTAAAACCATTCTCACATTCATTGGGTTTGCAAATACAGTAAATTATTACTAAACAGAGAAAAAGTAAAATAACTAAGTCCACAAAAAAATTAAAATTGCTTGTACAGACACAGGTCTATATCCTAGATATAGGAAATACATAAGAGCTAAATGTACGAGGGGGTTAATTCATCCAAGACACATTATAGTAGTCTACAGTGTATTTGTTTTAGGATCAAAAATAATCCAAGCAGCAGCTCCTTTACAGAGAGTAAATGAAACTTTGATATGAAACTAGGTTTAATTTATATTTCTGGACTGGCACATTTTGACTGTCAGTCTCTGTTCCTTCAATGTAGTAAGTACAAGAACTGAAAATTTGCTTTACCTTCAGGTCTCAATAAAGAAAAAATAAATGAGTTTCATTTTTGTTACTTTATCTGTCAACAACTACTAGGCTGGTATGAATCTTGGCAGTATGTAATCAAAGTCTTATGTACTGCAATAACAGAGCCATTCTACCTTATTCACTGTAATTGTTTTTCTCTAGCACAAAGCACCGTGATGCGATACGAACACCCCTTCACATGTTGGTAAAATAATTCACCCATGTGCTAAAAAAGAAAATGATGATGCATCTCTGTATTCAATTACTTCATAGCTGCAAATGCAAATTGCTGGAAAGTATGTTGCAACCATACAAGCAATACTCAAGCTAGTGCACAGGCTTTTTGCAGAGCCTTAATATCACAAACAAGAGCTTTTATTGAATTTTAATACCACATGTTCTTTATCCTATGGGTCTGGTGTGAAACTCTGAGTAGACTTTTGGGCAACTCTTCTGGACAGAACAATTGGCATTTAGGAAGAAATGTCATATTATATTTGATTCTGTGAGGCATGGAAACCATTATTCATAAAAGAGATACATTGACAAATATCATTAAACAGCTTGCTCTTTGGTCCTCTTTAAAAAAAGAGCAACCCTAACCCATTTTTGACAAGTATGGGATATTTCATCCAGGGCTTTGGCTCTGTCAGAACCGCACACAGCTGGAGACAGAGTCACGCAGAAGTAAAGAGAGCCACCAAGGTCTCATTTCTCCAGAGCAACGTATGTGGGTAGAATGAGCACTAAATGCCTGAATCACCTCCTCCTGATGATTTTACAGACAACAAGTCACTTTTAACTGCAGGACTCCACAGAAAACTTGCAGTGAAGCCTTCCGAAGAGTCAAAATCGCTGCAAACCTTAGATTGCTGCTTTTGGGGCTTTTTTTGTGGGGGTTTTGTCTCCCCCCACACCTCCCTCCCCCACCTCAGCTCAATGTACTTTGAGAGCTGGTGTGACCAGGAGGTCTGGGCTCTGAGTAGGTCCTAAGATTTGTTGGGGGCTGGGGGAGGTTGCTTTAGTTTTAAAACACAAAATTATCAATTTTAGTCAACGTAACATACTGCCCAAGGCATTTTGCTAATAACATTTTGTGAGCATGTGAATGGATTACTAATCATTTCACATTTGCTTTTGGAAATATCTGAAAGTGTATAACATGTAAATTAACAGTCCACTAAGGAATTCACATCGCTCTGCTCTGTGGTATAAACACAGTAAAGTAAATGTTAATACAGAGCTTGCTTGCAGGTATTTTGAACAGCAGTGTATAGCTTGGTGCTTTCAGACACCAAGCTACTTTAAATATCTGCTCCCATGAAGACCTGGCCAACTTTGGAAACTTAGGTCTTTGCTTTGATCCAGAGGTTCACTCAAACCGATTAACTCAATTTGAAACTCTATTCACCCCTCAAAATTGTGTTATTTCATGTAGAAAACAAACTGACAATTCAGGAAATGAGAATTGAAGTGCAAACCCCCAAATTATCTATAAATTCAAATAAAAATTAAAAGAAGGGTGTTGGCACAACAGTGACCAGGTGGGAATTTATACAGTTTAATTAAAGCAAGAGGAGTTGCTAATAAAATTAGCATAATTCTTGGATGCAGCCCATGGGACTGCACACGTATTACTAGGACTGGATGAAACTCTTAAGATGGCTTTTAAGCTAAGATGTCTGTAGTCAATTATACAGTCTTTGTCCTGAGAATACCACAGAAATGGCACGAGTAAGCTGCATTTCTACAAGGTCTTCTACTCCACAAAGAAATCACATAGTCCATATCAATATCACATCAAGGGTACATCAAGGAATTTAGATAAGCAATTATTCCATCGTCCTTCATATTCCACTATTGGTCTAGGGTTTTAGTTTAATGAAAGAATAGACAAAACTGTTGGATTTGTCATCTCCCAACCAATGTAAAAATGAAAGAATTATTAAAAGCCAGATGAATGATTATTAAAAGCTTGAATAAGCATTCACTGGTACTTGTTTTCAGAGCGATGCTGGGTCTTAGAGATAAAAGCAAAAAGATTTTGTCATGAGCCAGCTTTCATTATAAGACAGGATGCAGAGCATGGTCTGAGCAAACTTGCCTTATTAAGTAACAGCTCTCCCTTTTCAGGCAACAGAGTAGTCAATACACATCTCTACCAATGACTTGGTAGAACATTGCTGGGCATTACTAAGGCAGCTCATAAATGCCTTTTGCATAAGACAGAATAAGACACGCATCCTGGCATGATGAAATTCCAGTCTAAGACAGCATTTTGACCCAAAGTGCTTTTGAAACAGCCAGCAATGGAAAAGAGTAGTCTTCCTTTCCACACAGCTGTCTTAAAGCATTGATTTCAGCAACAACTCTTGCTAGTGAACATCACCTTAGTTCTGAAGAACACAGTGAATTGATATGTAACCCACAAAACAATGTTAACTCTCACTTCTTATTTCAGCAAGAAAAAAAAGTAAAGGATTATTATGAATTAATCAGAAGCTATAATTTTAGTTTGGATTTTTAATTGTCATTACTGAACCATGATATCTGTTACATTTACCTCAGCTTATGGCCATTACAAATGTCTTTAAATTTATATAGGCTGATCTAGGTTACATATAGAATCTGGATACCTTTAGACATATTATTACTATTTTAGATTTACATCTAACATCATTGTCTAGAAGTACAGATAAATGTTATTTATATTATTTTAGATATAGATCTAAAATAAGATTCCTGGGAAGCATGAAGTTATTCCAGATTATCACCAAGTATGTGGGGGGGGAGGGGGTAGAATGTTTTACACAGAGCTTCAAATTTGCATGAGTACCAAGCAGAATTCAATACAAAATTAGTCATTAATGGCATCCTCAAACTGAAGAGCATTAAGCAAGTGACTGGACAGCAGATTGTATCTTGAAATCACAGCTTGTTAAATACTACCATCACAGTTTAAAGGTATCATATGTCATCTTCCTTATTCTCGGTGGAGACTGTAGGTAATGAGTAAACCGCATAACTGTGTCTTATGTTTATATTGCAAGCCTTGAATAAACTCACTTGTCAACTTTGACAGGACGCTGGCACAGGGGCCGTTTGTGAGCCTGAGCAGCACAGACCATCCTGCGCCTTCACCAACACTTGAAAAACGCCGCATCGCACCCACGGCACCCACTTTTTTTTTTTTTTTTACCTGCCACTCCACTACTGGAACACTTACCATATTTACTGCTGTTTAAGTAAAGGTACAGCATGGGAATAATTTTTTTTTTTTTCCTTCAGGCAACAGAGGGCACTGTGCCAAGGGATGCCAGTGCAAGATCTGCTGCTTTTCCTGGGGAAATGCTGTTGGTCAAAGGCGTGAGAAAAAGATTTACTGATGGTGACGGAGTTCATTTAGGAGTACTATTAGATAACGCGACACATGTCAATGAGGAAAATGGATACTGAGTTCCCAGGCTGGCAGGCTTGGCTGGTCCCACACTATTTCAGTGCAGGAACTTGCTGAATTTCAAGGGTCCAACAGCACTATTACGAAGAAAACAATTCCCAAGTGTAATAAATTAGCCTTAAAAATACATATTCAGTCACCTTCTGAAAGAGTATTTCCCAATTATAAAATGCATCCATTCTTCACAATTTTTCTCCCCCTACCTTTCAACAAATTCAATTTTAGCACATTACTTAGATGAGTGGTACAGTATCCCTGTTGTTGAAATTGCATGCAATGGATCACGTTTTGCACACTACATTACACCTTGTGCCGTTCTGCTGATTTCAATTGGATTACACATTGTGTAATTCAACGCAAAATTACTTCCAATGACAACCCTTTTATTCCTATGCA